AAGAGCTTAAATTCTATTGGGGAGACAAGTCAGAATGCATGGAATGCTGTGTTTAAAGTCAGGAAGATATGGGCTCTAATCTTACCTCTGATTTAATAGTTGTTTGACACTGGGCAACTTTCTTGGACTTAACTATTAAATCACAGATGGGTTTTGGTCTTTGGGTAGATCAAAGGAGTTTGCTATATTGACAAATTTATATATCCTTTCAATATTCACTTTCACAGTGTACTGTGTATTATAATTCCTCATATACATTTTGTCTTCTCCATTAGACTGGAAACTACATTGGAACAAGTATTGAAATTAAAAATCCACTAGCTTTAGAGTTAGAAGACCTTTACTAGATTTGCCATATTGCCTATGTGATCTTGGGCAAGTCAACTTAACTTCCCTTAATTTCTTCATCTGTAATGGATGAGTGAAAAAGCATTCACTGAGCACTTACTATGTGCAAGACACTATGCTAAGCACTTAAGATTCAAACACAAAAGCAAGAGAGTTCCTATTGTTGAGGAATGTATATAACAGGGGATACCACATAAATGGAGGAATGATTGCTACAGAAAGGTATTTTGCACTGGGAGATGAAAGGGATGGTGAGTAAAGTAAGAGGGCAGTGTACTTTTCAACAACAATTCATTGGACTGATATGATTACTTCATTTAAACTATATATTTTGTGTTTTTCACTGATGTTTGTAGCAGTAAAAAAAAAGATCATTCTAAAAATATTTAATTTTTTCATAATAATATGCAATTGATTCAAAACATCTAACAAAAAAATCACATGAAAAAAGGACTAATACAAATATTTCTTTATGTGAGACAATATTTCATAAAATGCAATGTCAAATTACATTTGGTTGCTTTATGTATGATACTAAAAATCCAACAGCAAGACTATCCAGATTCAATTAATTTTATGAGAGAGAAAGAAGAGAAAAACTATGTAGTTACAAAGGGAAATCATAAGCTAAATTAAAGTCTCAAATTCCAATGTCATGTGAATTGTTGGCAGGAGGATTTTATTCAGTTGTCTCTTAGTTTTGAAGGGATTTGTACACTATACTATTTTTTTTTGAGGCAATTGGGGTTAAGTAACTTGCCCAGGGTCACACAGCTAATGTCAAGTGTCTGAGGCCAATTGGAAGTCATGTCCTACTGAATCCAGGGCCAGTACTCTATTCACTGCGCCACCTACCTATCCGACTGTGTACTATTCTTAAGAATTGGAGTGGTTCACATCAAAGGAATGATCAAAAGAAAAAAAACTAGTTCCCAACACAATACATATAATTACAATATTTTAAATGAGAGAACAAAGATGAAAAAAAAAATTAAGTCTTAACCATCATAAAGATCTCTTAACAGGTATATAAAAATAGGTTTTGAAATAAATTTTGTGCCTTATATATCTATGTGCTGAAATTGCAAAAACATCTTAACTTTTTTGCAACATTGAAAAAAATTTTTTTGATGGATCAAAGAAATCTATGACAGGAGTTAGCTCTGATTCACTTAAAGTTTGAGAATTAAAAAAAAATTAAAACAAAACCTTTTACTTTTTCCCCAAAATCCATAGAAATTTTAACAAGCTTTTTACTTTTAAAAAACTATTTTCTGCTGATTTGGAACCACATATGGATCTAAATTGTACTTTCCTAATGTAAAAATTATTTTTAAAAGGCATATGCACCATATACACTGTGGAAGTGCTACTGATTGTGAGAGGTTAGTATACATCCTATGAACATCTCAAAATCACCAGATTAATTTACAAGTTTACTAAACATAGTGGCTAATTTTTATCAGACTTTTTTGTAACTTTGTTTTGACTTATTCTGGGCTAACTTTTTCCAGATGAAGGACATCTGTATTTTTAAGGGAAGGCAAATGAAACATCCACAAGCAAGAATACAAATTGTAAAAAGTTACCCATTTTCTTGGGAACCTGTTTAAAAATCTAGTTCAAAATAATTCAATTTGATGAGTAAGCTGTGAATTTTTTTTACACATTTTTGTGAGAAATTTGGTCCAACATTAAATTTGAGCTTGATTCCTCTTACTCTAAAGAAAAAAATTTCTTCCCAAAGAGAGTTGATATACAAAAATAAAGTAATAGTGAATTAAATAAATTATTTGAGGAAATATGGTAAAAATAATTGCTTCCTCTTTCCATTTTAATCTAGTATAAAATCATTCATATCTAAAATAGGCCATAAACTTTCTTAATCATTAATTGATGTCCTGATACAACAGTTTTCTAAAAATTCTAAAGACAAAATATTGGTTGCCACTTTTAAATAATTTTGAACTCTCAAAACGTGAGCTTCTATAAGCTAAATAAATGATCTTATAGGCCTTTAGCAGAAAAATAGTCCAACCAGTTCAGATGAAGTTTACCTTCTCTGTAGATAGCACTATATAATTTGTCATCTGTTTAGTATGTTGTAAGCAATATGAAGAAACTGGTTTTCAAATTTTTTAATGATGGCAACAAATTACAGGGGACCCTTTCCTGATGCTGGGTTCAGGACCATGTTGCATTGCCTATACAGTTTCAGGTTGCAATCCCAGGGCAAAGAGGAGCACTAGTGCTTGCAGCTGCAGGGGTCCTGGTCACTGTTCCAGGGGGGAGAAGAGTGCTTGTGGTCACTCACAAGACAGTAGGGACTCTGGTCTCAATTCCAAGGCAGAAAGGAGCACTAGTGATTGCCTTTACAGGAAAGCAGGGAACCTAGTTACAGTTCCAGGGCCAAAATGAGTACTAGCACCTTCCTGGGTAAAGACCAGAGTACAGGCCAGGAGGGGAGTGACCACACCTTTCCTTAGATCATACTATCTTGGAAGCACCAAAAACCTACAGACTCCCAGAACTAGCTCTGAAAACAGCACAGAAGAACTAAGCTTGGGACAGTGCCCTTCCACCCTAGGAACAGACACCAATTTAACATGAAATTAAAAGATAAAAAATAGGCTGGAAAATGAGCAAACAACAAAAAAAGAAAACCATAAAGAAGATCAAGACACAAACTCAGAAGACAATGATGTCAAAACAGCTACAAACAAAGCCTCAAAGAAAATGTGAATTGGACACAAGCCCAACAAAAATTCCTGGAAGTTCCAAAAGGATTTTAAAATTCAAATAAGAGATAGAGGAAAGACTGGGGGGGGAAATGAGGGAGAAGCATGAAAATTATGAAAAGAGAATCAATAGCTTGATAAAAAGAGGAACATACACAAAAAAATACTAAAGAAAACTTTAAAAACAGTATAGGCCAAATGGTAAAAGAGGCACAAAAATTCAATGAAGAAAAGAAATTCCAAAAAAGCAGAATTGGCCAAATGGAAAAAGAGGTAAAAACGTGCACTGAAGAAAATAATTCCTTAAAAATGAGAATTGGATACATGGAAGCTAATGACTCCATGAGACACTGAGAAACAATAAAACAAAATTTTAAAAATAAAAAAAGAATAAAATGTGAAATATCACATTGGAAAAATAACTGATCTGAAAAATAGATCAAGTAGAGGTAATTTAAGAATTATTAGACTACCTGAAAGTCATGATCAAAAAAAGAGCCTAGATAATCATATTTCAAGAAATTCTCAAGGAAAACTGCCCTGATATCCTAGAAGGTGGTAATCATCAAAACAATCTGGTACTGGCTAAGAAATATAGTGGTCTAGACTATTAGATTATTCATATAATAAGTTAGGTATACAATACACAGTAATAAATGACCATGGTAATCTAGAGTTTGACAAAACCAACGATTCAAGCTTTTGAGACAAAAACATCACCATTTGACAAAAATTGCTGGGAAAACTGGAAAGTAGTTTGGGTGAAACTAGGTATAGATCAACATCTCACAGTATACTGAGATAAGGTCAAAATGGGTTTATGATTTAGACATTAAGGGTGATACAAGCAAATTAGGAAAATGTGGAAAATTTTCCCTGTCAGATCTGTGGATAAGGGAAGAATTTATGATCCGAGATAGACAGCAGTATGGATGTAAATATATATAATTTGGATCACATTAAATTAAAAAGGTTTCCACAAACAAAACCAATGCAGCAAAAATTAGAAAAAAAGCAGGAGACAGGGGGTGGGGGCATTTTACAGTGTTTCTTTGATAAAGGCCTCAAATATTTCTCAAAATAACCTCAGTCAAATTTATAAAAATAAAAGCCACTCTCCAAGTGATAAATGCTCAAAGGATATGAACAGGCAGTTTTCAGAAGAAATCAAAGCAATCTATAGGCATATGAAAAAATACGCTAAATCATTAATAGACAAATGCAAATTAAAACAACTCTGAGGTACCACTTAACATTTATCAATTTGGCTAATATAACAAAAAATAAAAATGACAAACGTTGGAGGGGATGTAGAAAAATAAGAACACTAATTCACTGTTGGTAAAATTGTGGACTGATCCAATCATTCTGGAAAATAACTTGGAGCCATTCTGGAAAATAACCCAAAGGGTTACAAAACTGTGCATATCCTTTGACCTAGCAATAGCACTACTAGGTTGTATTCCAAAGAGATCAAAGAAAAAGAAAAAAGACTTATATGTACAAAACATACATAGCAGCTCTTTTTATGGTGGCAAAGAATTAGAAATTGAGGGGATGCCCATCAAATGGGGAATGGCTAAACAAGTTGTGGTATATGATTCTGATGGAATATTTTTGTGCTATAAGAAATGATGAGCAGGTTACTTTCAGAAAAAACTGGGAAGATTTACATGAACTGATGCAAAGTGAAATGAGCAGAACCAGAAAATTATATACAGTAACAGTAAAATATATGATGATCAACTGTGAATGACTTAGCTATTCTTGGCAAAATGATGATCCAAGATAATTCTGAAGGACTTATTATGAAAAATGCTATTTAACCTCCAATGAAAGAACTGATGGAGTCTGAATGCAGATTAAAGCATATTTTTTTTTTAACTTTATTTTCTTGGTTTTTTTTGGGCTCTGTGTTTTCTTTTACAACATGGCTAATATGAAAATGTTTTGCACAACTACACATGTATAATTTATATCAAACTGCTTGACCTCAAGGAGAGAGGGTAAGAGGGAGGGAAAGAATTTGAAACTCAAAATTTTAAGAAAACATTTTAAAAAATTTACATCTAATTGAGAAAAAAAAATTAAATGTCTAAAAAAAATGAGAGCAACTCAACAACAACGAAAGCAACTAGACCAAAAATATAAAAAGTTTAACCAAAGAAAACAGAGTTTTAACAGTATTTCTTAATTTCATTCTTTTCCTCTCTGAATATGGCATATAAAATGGAAACTGTATATGTTTCGGCAATTTTATTTTTTTTAAAAAACATTTTACATGGACAACTTACAAGACAGTAGAGAGAGTCGTGATTTACATACTTTTTTGCCATTTGGATATTATTATTTTCTGATTACAACATATTTTGTGGTTTATGTGTTTCCATTAAACTTTCAGTGAATTTAACTACAAGTCAAAATAATAATGACAAGTAACCATTCCCCTGATATTTAACAAGTACAAGAACATTTTAGTTTTCTTGTATTCATGAATTTATGCATTTCAAGGTGTCAAATGGCTCCCAGGCAAATTATGGATCATTAATGTGAGAAATAAACTGTAGAGTGTTTGATGACTAATAAGTTAAATACACATCAATTTACTCTGCAAAGAACCTACTCACCAAAGCTAATTCAGAAGAAAGGCAGAACTTTGCTCTTATTTAAAACTGATTCCTTCAAGTTTTCTTTCCTCTCATTTGGTTAAAGTGTGTTCTCCCATGAAACTGATTAAGAAAAAATGAAAACTCATCCATGACCAAATTCTCTTTCAGGATTATGTTGTGTTTCTTCAGTACTCATTGAAACATCAGATTAAATTTTTAAAAATGGAAATAGCCTTGTTTTGCTCTTTATGTACTTGTAATTTGGAAAAGTTAAAGCAAAGTCTCAAAGACTAAATTTTAAAAAGGAATTTAATTGAATAACACTATAAGAAAGGCAAAGGGCAACAAATACATTAATTTTAGTTTTGTTTCTTGGAAGTCAAGTAACTCTGAAACCAAATTATTTTGATACTTTTTTCAAAACACAATTTGTAAATATAGACGCTAATGATAATCAGTTCTTATGATTATTCTATGTCTTATGCATCTTCAAGTGTAGTTAATGTTTGTAAAATGGCTCTAAAATAGTATTCTGATAGTTCATATAGCTATGCAAGTAAATCACATATGCATTAAATTGCTGGCAAAACAAGAATTAGTGATAACACCAAATCACTACTGTGGACATGGAAAAACCAATTAGTCTATTCTGTCTCACTGTTACCAAATGATTAAGTCTATACTCTGCATGTTTCAATGTTGGTGAAATACAAGTAGAAAGTACACCATTAGTTTCATTTTAGGCTAATCCTGCAATACAAGTAAATTAGGAAGTATATAAAATGAATATGGAGAATGATATGGAGAAAAGTTTTGGAAATACCAAGTTGTCTGGACATACAGCCATCACTAATTATTATTTTATAACTACACTTTCACAACACATTTAAAACACACACAGTCTCAAACTCCTGCTCATAATTTGCAAGGTAATTGACCTTTTTTTGCCATGGTTGACTAAATGCAATTGCTATCATTAAGACATAATCAATTGACCTTGTATTAACTCAAATGGATACCTTTGAGATGCCATTCCAATATCAATCTAGATGCTTAAACAGGTAATAAATATTGAGGCCAGATAAATTGTTTAAGTCCCAACACCTTTTCATATTACAAGAAAAAAAATGTGCTTCTGTTAAGAATATTATTTTTCAATCCAGCATATAAGAGTTCAGCAATACCATTTTAATCTTATGAGTACTATTTTGTTCTGATTTGGGAATTTAGGGTATTTTTGATCCAAAATAAAGCATTTCTGTCTTAGAATTAAAATTGTCATCATGTACTCTTTTTTCACGAATTTCATTTTCCTAACCATTTTTTCAATATTCATTTTTTTCTCATAATTTCATAGTAATTAAGAGCCCAAAATATGTTTCCTGGACTAATGAGTGCTGGATCTCCATTTTAAACATTACTTTGAAGCAGTGTAGAGTAAATAATTTTGGTAATCTGAAGAATGGCTGCATGCAGGGTATACTGTACTATGATAGCTCCAAACCCTTTATAAAAACCAAGCATTCCTTCTTCTTGCTTTATAGTATTGATACAGTCTCTCATTCCCTCATACTGAGTATTGATTGGAAGCACTTCATAGCCAAGGTCTGTATTGTCAATTATTGTACGTGTTCCTTGAATATGAAGACGGTGCAAAACTGTCTCCAGTGGGTAAAGCATAACATCAGAGCACAGGCTGGCAGCAAAGCTTGCGATCAGTTCAGGAAAATAAGCATCCAACATACTCTGTACAGGACTGGTGCTTTCAGTTGGATGACTATGAGCATTCTTCCTTTTCAGAACTAGTAGGACAAACTTCTGGATGACAGAACTGATGATATAATGAAGAACTCCATGCAAAACAGTGGGAAAGGTCAAGGCAAGAAGTGGGAGCAACCGCTTGCTATGAGGTACTCCCATGCCTATCACTCGGCCAATCCCTTCTTTTACACATTCCAAAATTCCAGCATTATCCCGAATAATCTCACTCTGCAACCAAAAGAATAGGTTTAAAAAAAAAGATTAATATCTCATTTTTATCAAACAAGTACCATATAAATTCATAAAGCTCTTTACAGCTCTAAAATTCTGTTATTCTAAATCAGAGTACCCCCCCCCCCCAAAGGAAAGTCACAGAGATGAACTGTTTTCTCAATTCGCGGTAAGGTCAACTGAGAAGGAAAATAGTTATGTAGTAAATGGAGCTAAAATAAATGATTATTTAAAAAGCTAGATCATGGTACAGACCACAGAGCTATAGGAATTCAGGGAAGGAAAAGTTCACTGTGCAGTTAAGCAACCAAGTAAAGTTATACAAATGAGACTAGACTTGTGCTGGGGCCTTGAATGACAGTGGGAAGTGAACTGGTAGTGAGCAGGAAAAAAGACACTACAGACCACTAGAATGAACAATAAAAGTATGGAGAAAGAAAAAGTGTGAGATATGTAGGGGACAATAAAGAAACTGGACTGATTGGAAAAGAGAGTTTGAATTGAAGAGTAATGGGAAATAAGTCAGAAAGGCATGATGAGGCCACTAAGGCTTTGAATACTAGGTTTAAAAGTTTAAAAATGATTTCACAGTCAATAAGGGAATACTATAAAACAGAAAATAAGCTGATTAAAGTAGCTTTTTACATTAATCTGAAAATGATTATGTGAAATAATAGAAGCTGACTTTTAAAAGTCTGTAATTTGTTATATACATTATCTCATTTCTTTGAAGTTAAGCATGACAGGTATTATTATTTCCATCCTACAGATGAAGAAATCGAGACTCAAATACGTGATTTGCCCAAAATTATACAATCAATATGTATCAGAGATGGAATTAGAACCCAGGTCTTATCTGAGTCTAGCATTCTTTCACCATGCTATCTCTGGGGTAGAAAACAAACAAGTGATACTGAAGGAGACAGATGAATGAGGATCTGATTTAAGGAGTGATGCCAGGCAGGAAGACAAGTTAGGAAACAGATGAGGATCTGAATCAGGGTGGAAGCAGGGAAATGGAGAAGAGAAACAGATCTTCCAAGACACTGAAGGAAGAATCAATAAGATTTGGTATCAGGATGGCTATCAGAGATAGCCAGGGAAGACTGTAATGACTCAGTCACCACCTGAATTCAAATCCAAGCTGTCAATTGTATGACCCTGAGCAATTCAGGTCATCTATCAGGGACTCAAGTTCCACAAAAGCAAAATGAAAAGACTAAACTAGATGGCCAATGAAATCCATTCCAGCTCTAAATATTTGGTTATGCAAAGAAGAAGAAGTCAAAGGTTAGTTGGGAAAATCAGAACCACTCTGAAGTTTGATAAAGTTGCATTTGTTAGTTGTTTTCTAAGGTCTCTTTCAATTCTGGAATTCTATGATCAAGACATGAAAGAAAAAGAATGGTAATGCCATTGACAGTAAAGGAGAAATCAGGAAGGGAAATCAGTTGTGAAGGGGATTAGTTTGATTTTTTGCATTATATTAAAGGTAATGGGACAACAAAAATGGTGATATGCTGTAGACAGGTGGAAATGAGAAAATGGATACTGGGTAAGAGGTATGAATTGAAAATAACTTCCAAAATCCCTCTGGAAAACAATTTGGAATTATTGGAACTATGCCCAAAGACTTAGCAATACTATTACTAGGTCTGTAACCCAAAGAGATCAAAGAAAAAGGAAAAAGACCCATATGTACAAAAATAATTATAGCAGCTCTTTTTGTGGTGGCAAGGAATTAGAAACTGAAGGGATGTCCATCAGTTGGGGAATGAGTGAACAAGTTCTGGTATATGATTGTACAAGAAATGATGAGGGTGATTGGTTTCACAAAAACCTGGACTTATATGAATTGATGCAAAATGAAGTAAGCAGAACCAAGAGAACATAGTACATAGTAACAGCAATATTTTAATGATGATCAACTACGAAAGAGTTAGCTACACAGATCTATACAATGGTCCACAACAATTTCAAAGCACTTATGATGAAAAATGCTACCTACTGCCAGAGAGAGAACTGATGAATTCTGAGTGCAAAATGAAGCATATTTTTTTCACTTTATTCTTCTTGCTTTTTTTGAGGGAGACAATATGGCTAATATGAAAGTATATTTTACATGTCTTCACATGTATAATGTATAATGCCTTCTCAATGGGTGGTAGAGGGGCTAGAAGAAGGGAGAGAATTTGGAACTCAAAAAAAAGAACATTTTAAAAAAATTGAAAATGTCTTCCAAATGTTTTGGAAATCATCTGGAGAAAAAAAAAAGATGACTATTGAAAGTCATCATGAATGAGATATCTGAAGTAATGATTGTAGAAGAGTAGAACATCAATTTGACTTAAGAGGACATACCTAACAACTGGCATGCTGAAGAACCACTAAAGGAAAAAGATAAGAAGGGAGTGGAAGGAGAAGCAAGAAATTATAATATCATGGAAACTAAGGGAAAAAATAAGAAAGATAAAAGTCTGAGACAAAATTACAGGATTTAACTAGGAGGTTACTAGTGACTATAGAGAAAGCAATTTTAGAGATGAGATGGAAGTAACACTGTAAAAAATCTATAAGGCAAGGAAAGAGGAGACTCAGGTTTATGGGAAAATCATTAAGTTTTGTAGAAAAAAAGAGGCAGAAAGGTGAGAAAAACAAGTTTATAAAGACTGGAAAATGTGTATGCTTAAAGCAAAAGAGAAGAAATCAGTTGAGAATGTAATTGAAAATGCTTGTTGGTGGGGAGAAAAAAGAAGGGAGAATAACTTTAGAGTGAAGAGTCCCTATGGAATTAGGAAGGAATAAGTTCCAAAATGTATGTTTGAGAGAAGAGAAAGAATATCTCTGTAATAAATAAAAGTTATGTTACCAGTCTGAGGTAGCTCTATTCAATGTACTTGAGTCGCCACCTTGTGGTGAAAAATGACACCCAAAAAGGGTTTTTTTTTATTTCCCTCAAAATTTATTTGGAAAGTTTTCATATACTTTCAAATGACTATAGGTACATTAAAAATCCATTTAGAATGTGCTACCAATGGGTACCACTTTAAGAGACAAAAGTGAGAGACAATAAGTTTCTGAACTAGGATTGTGGCAGTGAGAGTGGTAAAGGGAAGAAAAGTTTTGAGAAAAATAATAAAGGTAGAATCAACATTGTGATCTTGCGACTGATTGGATACAGGAAAAGATGGAGAGGGATGAGTTCAAGATGATTTAGATTTCAAGTCTGGTACTATCAACAATAATAAGGAGTGTGAAGACAAGGGCAGCTTGGGGATAAGAGGTTATGGAAGTGATGAGTTCAGTTTTGAACATATGTTTGATGTCATTGGTAGAAAATCAAGGTGGAGCTAAAATTTTAGCATGCAGCTGGAAATGCAGAACAAGAGACTGGGGAAAGGGAGAAGGTGGGATATGTGGATTTGGGAGTCACCTGTACAGAGATAAGCATTGAAGCAATGAGTTGAGGAGGTCATTAAAAAGTGAAGGCAATGAGTATAGAATATTTTTTCTACAAGTTTCATACTTAATCAATGAATGGGATGAGGGATATGGGTTAATAACTTGCAGTGTCTGAGTCAAGCAAAGGTTTTTTTTTTATTTTGTTTTAGTATAGGAGAGACATGAGCATGTTGGTAGGTAGAACAGAAGGAGCTAGTAAGAAGAAAAGATTAAAAATAAGAGATAGAATGAATATGCAGATTTAGAAGTGGCTGAATGACTGGAAGAGTAGTCATTAAAGGTATCATTTAAGGAAAAACTTCCAAATAAGAAGAACTATCCAAAAGAATGAGCTGCTTTTGTAGTAGGCTGCTTCTCCGAGGACTCCAACAAAAACCGAATGTCCAATTGTGGATATTGTAGAGGGGATGCTTGGACAGGTATAGGTTGGATCAAACAACTACTGATTGATGAAACAAAAGTCCCACATTAGATAAGATTAGAAACACAAGTAGAATGGGTTGGCCTTGGTAAGGAGGAAGACTGACTCACCCTCTAAGATCCGAGGAAAGGAGTGAAGGATGGGTAAATACAGAAGTTTTGAGGTAGAGGAGGCAGATGAGAAAGCTCAAGATGTGGCTTCTATCTCCCTAGTAAAGAAGGCTAGGTCATCTGCCTATTGGGGGTGAGAGAGAATGTTGTTCGGGGCTTGAGGAAAGAGAAGAAAATCTAGAACAGCTATTGTTATAGAGAGTATTAACAGGGAATCAATTGGAAATTAATAGGACTATTAGGCTCCCTTAAAATTAGATACTATGAATTTATAGTGGGTCCAGTCACTACCATGTTTGGATTTCCAACAGTGCTCAGCAAATTGGAAGTGAGTTGAAATACAAGGCCAAGACTGAAGGGAGAGAAGTGAACAAGTAATTTGATTCTTATGGCTAATAACTATTTCTGAGTGTACTAAAATGTCCTTAAATAGACAAAAAAACCTGTAGACTAGCTGAACATTTACGACAAATCCCAAATGAGGTTCTGATTTCAAAGAGTTGATGAAAGAGAATGGAATGGCTAAGGGACAGAGAAGAGACTCAAAATTAGAATTGTGAGACTAGCCTAACTTGCAACCTTCACCGAGAAAGGTGTCTAGGGTATAACAATGTGATGAGAATACCAGCTGGAAAATACTATTTAGTCCAAATGATGTAATGTTAATCTATACATTTTCATACAAAACTCAAATCCATAAAATATATCATCTGTATGTTAAAATATTTGAAAAACAGTTTGTTAAGTAAGTTAAAAAACACACAAAAAAGAATAAATATATTGATAATTTACCTGAACAGTTTCAATCAGGCTTGCTGAATAAAAAGGCATTGCCACCACATAAGTTAGGCTGTAGGGATCAAAATAAACTTATCACTGTCTTGTAAACAAGACTTGTTTATGCCAGCTTTTTAAAAAGCTATTTAAATATAATTATTAACAATTTGCATTAAAGAAGCACAATTTTATGCAGTTTTTCAATTATTCATAGATATAATCTAAAGAAATTAACTGCAAAAGGCCTTAACTATTATATACATTTTTTAGTAATGAGAAAAAAAACAAACTTAGGAGTAGTGACAACATATTAACAGCCTATAAGGAATATAAAGTCTATTTCCTGTCAGTTTGGATTTAGTTTATCCAACTATAAAAACTTTCATGTGATGTAAACAGTATGAAAAATTCATTTCACACCTTCAGATTCAGAAGCAGAGCTTCAGAAGTAGCGCTCATTACCATTATACCACTATCATACACTCACACCAATCCAAGTCCCTGAATCTCACCCAACAGAACAAAAGCAGTCTACAGAGGGTAAATGAAGTCCCCTTTTATTTTAAAAAAAAAAAAAAAAAAAAAAAAGCTTTGCAAAGTTGTTTCATGTCACCAATGCTTCATTATACAATTTTAGTATAATACTGCACCATCTAGTTATTACACAAATTCCAATGTGGGATTTTCCTTTTATAGACTAGGTCTTCACAAGTAGAAGTTTTTCTGTTGAATGGCATGCACGTACGCGCTCGCGCGTATGTACACAAGGAATTAATTGGAAATTAATAGGACTGTTAGGCTCCCTTAAGATCAGATACTGTGAGTTTATGGTGGGTCCTGTCACTACCATGTTTTCATTTCCTCTAATATATGCACACACATAATACACAATATAGATGTACATACTATATATATGTATACACATATACATGCATGCATACAAATGCACACATATACACATATATGTGCTTGAGTGTCTCACAAGAGGCAAGCAAACACGTAGGTTTCCACTTCATAACCTTCAAATAAAAGTTTACTGTTTTTATATGAAGAGTAAAGTTCTAATCTACAGAACTGGTAACTGTTATGCTAATTACTAAAGTCCTTTAGTACAGCATGTTAATGCCATTAAGGTAACAGATTTGCTCTTAGCTCTTTGCTGTACACACACACACATATGCATGCATGCATGTGTGTATGTACATACATGTATATCAATCAACTGTTTACACTTTTATTATTTTCCTAAAGAATAAATAAAAAAGTCAAGCTTAGGGGGCAGCAAGGTGGCGCAGTGGATAGAGCACTGGCCCTGAAGTCAGAAGGACCCGAGTTCAAATCCAGCCTCAGACCAAACACTTGACACTTACTAGCTGTGTGACCCTGGGCAAGTCACTTAACCCCAACTGCCTAATTTAAAAAAAAAAAAAAGGAAAAAAAAGTCAAGCTTACAGTCCAAGGTATGGTAAAATTTATTAAGGGAAGGATATAATAAATGCATACTTCCTTCCCTCTTCTGAAGTGCTGTTCCCACAAATATTTGATCAATATTAAAAATTTAGAAACAATCAGTAATCCTGCTATTTATTTAGTATGAATTTTTTCAAAACTTTACCACTATAATAATAATAATAATAATAATAATAATAATAATAATAATAATAATAGCTTCTGGCAAGATACTTACGCTTTAAGTAGAAGGTGTTCTCCCACTTGCTTAGGACTCCACTTGTGAGAAAGTTCCCTAAAACAAAGAGTTTAACTTATTTAATTAGTTCCTGAATTAGCCTTAAGTTCTATCTAATTTTCCTATGTAGTCATAATATCAGGAAATGAGAAAGTGAAGGGGAATGCTTATAATCAGGCTAATTTGCCTCAGTGTTTCACATAACTAAAGTTCTAAATTTTCTCACAAAACCATGGCAGTAATCTGTGGTGGCAGAAAGGGGAAGGAATATTAAAAAGGGAGAGTAGGTTAAGGTTGTAAGCAACAATATTTAGTAATTCGGATAGGAACTGGTAGAGACGGCAGACAAGAGACTTCAGGCAAAATAAAATTTGTGCTTTATTATAGTAATGAAAATGCTGAGAGAGGAAAGATAAAGGGTGAAGTAGGAAAGTGAGAAGTGGAAAAAAAAGAAGGAAATGGAGGAGGGGAGGAAGGGCAAAAAGGGAAAGGGAAAAGAAAATATAGAAAGGTGAATAGGAAAAATTAATAAAAGTAAGAAGACAAAGAGAAGATCTGAAAGGAAAAACAATGAGGAAAAACAGAGAGCACAAAAAGAGAATGTGGAGAAGAAAAAAATAAATAACTCTAATCTATTTACCTCAGCCCTATCCTGTATTCCTGTGTCTAGCTTGGTAATCTACAACCATGGTTAGTCATACACACCACTGACATCTCCATTCCTGAGAATTACTGTTTAAGTCACAAAAATCTATTGACTGGGTCCACAACAAATTCAACTAGGACCTCACAAATGCATGGTGTTTTTTTTTATGTCAATTTGTTTAGTCATTTATATATAATCTGTACATCTCACTTTTATTACATATAATTTGAATTCAAATTTTTTCATGTAAAATTAAAGTTTCAACTAGTAGAATGGCCTCATTTTGCTACTTTTTTTAAATAATAAAAGACTTCTGAGATTTTAAGACAATTAAAAAAACACCCTCATTCACTGACAGTAATGGTGCTAAGAGAAATGATATTCTGAGCTGATTATGGTTAAGTCTTAACTGATGGATAACATGAAGATCATGATCCCCAAAAAGCCATCCTTTCTATAAGAGAAGTTCCTTATACAAGAAATAAATTATTTAGTCTGTCATCATTATAGTGGGCAGTAAAACTATCACCAAGAAAGACAGTGAAGACTGAGAAATCATCATGACATAAAACTATAACCCTTACTTATGCTGCTGCTACTACGAAATTAGTACATTGGGTTCATTTTTTCTTTGCACAAAACACTGATTTTTCTAATATTTAACTTTAAAAAGGTCTTATGGGTTTGTTAACTCTTGGAGCACTGGTATCTCAAGTCTGCCAAACAAAGGTCTAATTAAGAGAATGTCTTTGTCCACAGTGCCCTCAGGGCTAAAGTGCATGACTTTTCTGTGGCCTGGCACACAGCTCTTCCTATTCCACTTTATGAAACTTTTCTTTTGGTTTCTTACAGTTTTTCTGTGAGTCTATTCTCTGTTTCTTCCATTTTTTCCCCCTATGCTAAGCAACTTTGTTTCCTCCATTCTGTCCTGCAAGTACCTACAAGTACTCTAACTGGAGGTGGCATTAACATGTAGATACAGGTATGAAGATACCTGACAGTAATGGATATTCTTTCTAAAGTCACAGTGTATCAGGCAGTGTTGCAATCTAAAAGATAGCATATGCAGGTAGTAAATTTCCACTTTGGAAATTTTTCAAAAGGTCCACTATGCTGTCAGGTAACCCAATGAGTTCCAGAAAAGGAACAACATTCACTCCTTTTAATAACACAGCCCTCTCTCTCTGAAGAAGTTTCATCTTTTTACTGTTTATGGTAAGAAAAATCTATCAGCTTCCTTTCCTTTGAGATATGTTGTGAAAAAGATACAGTAGGCAACGGTTTTGAGGACACCAAAACAATCTTGGGCCAAACATTACATAAGACTGGACATCCTTTTATGCTTTGAGACTGCCCAATGTAACCAGCCCTACGTGAGATCATCTATGTCCTATCTACCAATCGAGACACAGTCCATTTTAAATTCCACTGCATTTTGATGAATGGTGGTTGTTGATTCCTACACATCAGCATGTTTTAGGAGAAAATCATTAATCAGAAGCAAGAAAAACCTGGACAGGAGACACTACACTTTCAGCCAGGAATCTGTCTGAGGTGAGGGTACCTTGCTTAGACAGCTAACACTGTCAACTTCTAGAGTTTTAGAATGATAATCATAGCCATGGGTACTGTACCAGGTCAGTGGTTCTCACAGTGAAATCAGCAGATACTGGTGGTTCAGAGGATATTGGGTCCATGGCCACAGGCACTGATAAGGCAGATTTTCCTGTACTGCTGGCTTGGAGTAATTACTGACAGTAAATGATTTCCCCATATTGTCTCCTTTGAAGCCAGTGTGGCCAGGCTTTCCCTCACCCTCTCAGGTCCCTGGCAGCCTCAGCAATCATTTGCCCTCTTCAGCCAACTCGGATCACACAGGAGGTACTTGTGACTGCCAGGTGCCCAGTTCAGAACCTCCGCTGGCAATGCCAAATGTTTGAGGATCGTTCATTCATATCTAAATGACTCTCTATCACTTTCTTTCTCTTATGTCTCCAAATCCCTTCCCTTTCCTCAGCAAATGACTGGGCCCTCCTGCCTATTATCTTACCGAGAATGTTGAGGTAAGTATGAGTTCCCTCATCTTCCTGTATCTCTACTTGTCCTCTCAAGGTTAAGAAGATTTGCCACTACCAAAGTAGTGGCAAAGTACTTTCTATTCTAAAAAGCACTTTCCTTTGACTTTGTCTGCACCTCAGATTAACCTACCCATCTCCTCCCCTTCCCTGTGAAATGACTAGAAAGAATGGTCTATACTTGTTGACCTCAACTTCCTCATTACTCTTTCTTTTCTCAACACCTTGCCACTGGACTTCTTTTCTCACCTCTAATGGAACTGCTCTCTACAAGTCTATAAGTTACCTGTTTTCTAGATCCAATAGTTTCTTCTTTGACTTCATTATCCTTGTCCTTTCTATAACACAGTTGATAAGCATTCCTTTATTTTTTATATTTTCTCCTTAGCACCCAGGACAATACCACCTTCAGGTCCTCTTCCTACCTGTATGAATGTTCTATTGGTGGTTCATTCTCAATTTCCCAGCCTCTAAATATAGATTATTCCCTAAGGTACTTTCTTTGGTCCCCCTTCTTTTCCTCATCTTCCTTAGTGATCTCATCCACTTCCTTGGCTTCAGATATCATTTCTATGCCTCCTAAATATCATATTTCCAACTGCTCAGTAAAATCTCAGATCTTTTCCTTCAGCATGAATGAAATGGAACTGTTCTTACTTCTGAACACCTATAGCTCCTCCTAACTCCACTATTTCTGTCAATGACACCACTAATCTTCCAGTCATTGAGGCTCAAAACCCAACAGTCATCTTTAAATCTTGTGCCCCTATCACTTCCCTACTCAAAAGTCTTCAGTGTCATCCTATTTTCCATAAGATAAAATACCAACTTATTTGATATTTAAGGCCTTCTATAATCTGGTTTTAACCTACCTCTCCAGCCTTATTCTAACGTCCTACCTTCACAATCTACGTTCTAGCTTGTTCCTCCAATCTTGCCCCACACTCTCCATTCCCTCATTCCTGGAGTAAATTCCCTACACGTTTCTGCTGAAATCCTTCTCTACCTTCAAAACCTAGCTTAGGTACCACCTTGGTCACAAAACCTTTCCTGATTATCTACCCCCTCAAATTTCTTGTAACACTCTGTCTAGACCTTTCCTGGGCATTTATTACATTTTACTCTGTATTACATTTATTTGTACATGTTTCATTCCCTATCTACTACCATCCCTTATTCATTAGACTATAATCTCTCTGAAGGTAGGGACTGTCATTAAAAAAAAATCCTTTATATTCATATATTTATATACAAATAGCACAATATCATGTATATAAGAGGAACTTTCTGGGGGCAGAGAGGTCCAGAAATTCCCTCCAATGAGGCCAACTGGCAACTTAAAGTTAAGAGAGAAATGGTTTGTCCATAGTCAGAAAGCTAGTCTGCGTCAGAGCCAGTATTTAAACCCATGTTTCCCTGATTCCAAAGCTGACCCTCCATCATCATTCTTCCTCTCAAACACTCAATAACTGTTTGAAATGAATTTAAAGAGAAAAGAAAAAAGAAAGAAAAAGGGATAGAAACAAATGGAAAGGAAAATCAAAAAGGAGGTAAGTGAGGCAAGGCTAATGAAACTTAAAATACTTGCCATATTGCCTGATCTCTATGACTCCTTATTTTATATATAAGAATATAATTTTGCTTCTCAGAATTTTGTAATTGCAGGTGCTATCCCTTTCTAATTCTGAGGAATGTAAATGGACTTGCTACTGAATATAAACATGCATAAACACATGCATATATTACATGCACATAATAACATACATATATGGAATCTGAGTTAGCATTTCATATGTAAAATTCCAGAGGAAGGTAGAAAGAGGGGGCATAAGTATCTCTGTTAAGTTGCTTTGATCCCTCACTTGAGAGAATAACTCAAAGCCATTCTCCTGGCACTTGCCAGATAATTGAAATGTATCTTGTAAGTGTTAACTGTCCCTGTCTTTTTGTTCCCACTCCTAAATTCAGCATAAAAGGTTTTTCCTTTTTGCCCAATAATAACTTAAGAAAGAAGAAGTATCCATCTGGGGACCTGACATTATAAATAAGATCTTCCTCCTCCCCCTTTAAAATAGCACATCAAATCAAATTTTGGAACAGCAGAGCCAATGAAAGGTTGGAGTGAGACATTTTTCCAGCCCAAGAAAAACTTAAGAGGTTGGAAGAAGTCTGTGACATTGGGGTGGAGGCTAGCCCAGAATCCATGTGGCAGCAACACTAGCTGTGGGCCTTGGAGGTCGCAGCAGCAACAATAGCTTCAGCAGCTCTCAAACCAGTGGGAAGACTGGGCAACTGGTCAGAAAGAGACTACAGGGGACCCCTATGCCAGCACTGTG